TGATTTACAGCACAAGCATCAGAATTACATCAGAGAAATATCAGCATCTGATGCAAATTCATATTTTTGCTCATGTTGGGCCTTTGAATAAAACTGGGCCGTTTTTTCCTCCTTATTCTCACTGTATCAGATTATATGAGCCATAAAAGCCTGATGCATCAAATATGATACTCAAAGAAATGGTCACAAGTTACAGCAATAAATTCCCTTCACATAATTATTAGATATTTTAGCACAGTTTGAATCAGAGATACTGATTCAACTTAAATTCCCCATTTCAGCATAATGCGACTTGATTTTGTCTTTCTGAATATTATCTTTTTGTTTTGAGCTCATGCAAATTCTAGACTGTTACAATTTTGGGAACAATTTACAATAAGGTCTTATTAATATATTTTTACAGTATTAACCTTTGTTAATGTTAGTTAATAAAAAATTTAGTCCACAATGCACAAACTAATGTTAACAGATACAACTTTAGATCTTATCATTAGTAAATGGTGAGATTAATAAATGTAGAAGTAGTTAATTTTTAGTTAAATTGTTAGTCATTGTCATGTTAAATAATGTAGTTAACTAATTTTAACAAATGGAAACTTATTGCAAAGTGTTACCATAAATTTCTTCATTGATCTCCACTAATTTCTTCTACACAAGACATTTAGGTTTTCAAGACCATTTCACTGGTGCCAAACCAACCATTTTTTTTACTGAATTTGATTAGAAATAATTTTACAATTTCTAAAAAAAAAATAAAAAAATAATAATAATAATAAAATATATGTGTGTGTGTGTGTAAAAAATATTAATATGAAAAAGTTATTTTTTAATTTATTATTTAAAAATCAATAAGTGAATTTGATTAAAAATAATTTCAAATTCAGAAGTATTTAAAAAACAATAAGTGAATTTGATTAGAAATAGTAAAAAAAATTATAAAAAAATATGTAAAAAATATTCATATCAAAAAGTTATTTTTTATTTATTATTTAAAAATCAATAAGTGAATTTGATTAAAAAATAATAAAAAATTCATAAAAGTATTTAAAAAAACAATAAGTGAATTTTATTAGAAATAATTTAAAAAAATTCTAAAAAAATATATATGTAAAAAATATTAATATCAAAAAGTTAATTTTTATTTATTATTTAAAAATCATTAAGTGAATTTGATTAAAAAATAACTTAAAATTCAGAAAAGTATTTTAAAAAACAATAAGTTAATTTGATTAGAAATAATTTAAACATTTCTAAAAAATATATATTTAAAAAATATTAATATCAAAGTTATTTTTTATTTATTATTAAAAAATCAGTTAATTTGATTTAAAAAATAATTTAAAATTCAGAAAAGTGTTTATTTAAAAAACATTAATAAAGTTAATTACATTTTTGTTTACTTATTGAATTTTTAACAAATTAATACATTTTATTATAATACTGTATAGTGTATGATAAAATGCAACTCACTTTTGGCCCATGGCCCTCAATGAAGTTAGATTTTTGGCCCTCTGTAATAAAACGTTTGGGCCTCTCTGGTTTAAACTGATATTTCATTAAAAAATGAAGAATCTGTGATCATTTACTGAGCTTCATGTCGTTCCAAACATGTATTATTTTCTTTCCTCAGTGAAAAATAAAAGGAAACACAAGGAATGTAATTTGGAGGTCGTCAAAAAGAAACACCATAAAAGTCTCATAATGAGATTTAAGAGCTTTGATGGACAGAAAGATTTTCCTTAGATAACAGCACAAAGCGATGGCAAGCTGAAGTTGTAGAATACTGTACCTGGAGTATGTGTTTATGTTCATTCTGTGATTGTTCCTCAGGTGATCCACATGCGGCGTAACCTGGACCAGAGCGAGGCGGCGATCGCGCAGGTGTTCGAGGAGAAGCAGCGCGTCTGGGAGCGAGACATGGAGGAGCTGAGGCAGAACTACGCCAGGCGTCTGCAGCAGGTGACCCACCGAGCCCAGCGCACACAGCAGGCCCTGCAGACCCACATCGCCCGTCTGCAGCAGGACAAGGGCCGGCTCCAGGAGGAGATCAGCGCTCTGCTCGCACAGAGAGAGGAGCTGGAGCACAAGTGTCTGGATTACCGCAAGGAGCAGGCGGATATACTGCCTCGCCTGGAGGAGACCAAGTGGGAGGTGAGAGGTATTTCCAAAAGGTGCCCACATGGAGTCTCCGAGTCGCCCGCCAAGCACGTTCTATAAATAGCCTAAATTAGCATCGGGCCATAAATGATATCATATCGAGTAGGGATATGCCGGTATCAAATTGTCATATTGCGATTAATTGCTAATGCTTTTATCACGGTGCGCGGTATTATCACGGTATACAGAAAGTAGCGCAGCTGCTTTGTTTACAGGGTTTCCGGGGTAAAGGCAGCATTTCTGCAGTTTAGCGCCATCTGCTGTCAGATAGCGAAAGTGTGCTTTCATCCAGAGCGTCTCTCACATGTTCCGCCATGTGCTTCTCGTCCGCGCTTGTTTACATCAGAGTGAGCACGCGTCTTTCACGCAGCATACAGCGGTGTTGTGCATTTTGACCAGTTGATGGGAAAAGTATTCTTAAAATGCATTCAAAATTCTGAATAATTTTTAATATATAGTTATTCATGGTATTTAGAAGTGCCCACGATAACAATATCGTGCATATTAATTACCGTGATATATCGCATTACCGAATACCGGCACAAGGCTAATATCGAGATTATGATAAAATTCATGTTAATAATGATGATAAGCTCTTGACATTTTTACTCAATATGGATTAATTTAACATCCTATTACACAACAGAAATAAATAAGTCTGCATGGTCTGTGTGAATGCGTGGAGTAGTTTCATCTGATGCACAAACTCAAACACACGTGACTCGCGGTGTTTTCAGCGTCTGCGTCTCAATATATGAGTACATGAACACATGCACTTCATCTTCAGAGCTGCTTCACCAGCTTTATGCAGTTTCATTTGAGGAAAAAGTACCATCAAATACACGCTGAAACTGAAACTGAAAGACCTTCGCGACAAATCGTCAAAATAAAAGTCCGGTTTAACTTGAAATTATGACGGAATATATCACTACTGTATACTACAATGCAATTCTCAAAGTAATAATAATATTATTTTTAAGGAATATCATACAACCGAGTTATTTTTTTTTTATTATTAATTTATACGGTTCTGTTGTGCGTCATCATGTCTGATAAAATAAAATAAAAAAAATAAAAATGCAATGTTTTGTTGTAAATTGATTTTCATTTGATTACATTTTAAAAGATTGATTAAATTGTTGAAGTTGTATTCATTCATTTCACTAGACACCATTTTTTATGATAAATTTGTACTGAATCATAAAACACGGAATCCATAAGAAATCAAATGGAAAACACAGAATTGAGGGAAAAATTAAATGCATTTTTGCATAAAATGCAAGATATTAGAGAAATATATATATGTATTGGATTATATCAAACAAGTAGCCCTTGAGACTATTTTATCCCTTCAGGGAGCCCTCACTCACACAAAGGTTGGAGACCCCTGATAGAAGAACCATTTTTGGATCCTCAAAGAACCTTTCAGTGATCAGTTCTTAAAAGAACCAATTTTTCTTTGTTTGAAGAACATTTTAAAAATCCCCCCCAAAAAAAACTTTTGTTCAATGTAAAGATTCAATGGATGTTAAAGGTTTTTCATGACACCATCAATGCCAAGAGTGCGATGCTTCATGAGGGGTGAAAACTAATAATTAATTAAATCATAAAAATGTAACATTTAAATGAATGCTTTTTAAAATAAGAACAATCAAAATAAAACGCACAAAAAAACTGATGGAAAAAAATATGCAAATGTGTTGTTAAATTATTGAAATATTAACTTAAAATCTCAGGGGGCTTTAAGAAAATGTTTTAGTTCAAAGCGGTTCGGCTGGGAAAAAAACTGTGAGAGATAAAAGAGCTTATTTTATACAGCCCAGCATTTTTTTTTATGGCATATTTATGTATAGATTTAGTTTAGCGTCACAATTTTAGAAGAATAAGATTTGTTCATGTGTTTGAAAGAATCTTTTATGCTCACCCAAGGCTGAATTTATTTGATTAAAAATACAGTAAAAATTGTGAAATATTATTACAGTATAAACAGCTGTTTTCTATTTTAATATACTTTAAACTGTAATTTATTTCTGTGATGCGCAGCTGTATTTTCAGCATCATTACTCCAGTCTTCAGTGTCACATGATCTTCAGAAATCATTCTAATATTCTGCTCGAGAAACATTTCTGATTATTATCAATGTTGAAAACAGTCGTGCTGACGAATATTTTTGTGAGTCAGTAATACTTTGAAAGAAATTAACATTTTTATTCATCAGGGAAACATTAAATTGTTCAAAAGTGACAGTAAAGACATTTATAATGTTACACAAGATTTCAAATAAATGCTGTTCTTTTGAACTTTCTGTTCAATCCTGAAAAATAAAATGTGCATCTCAGTCAGCCTTGGTGAGCATTAGAGAGCATTTTTTTGAATATCATTCATTATATCGACCGTAATTTCTGGAAGAGTTTCATGCAAGCAATTTAAGTCCGTGATCTGACGTAGACTAACAGCAACATACAGCAGACTAAACAAACAGCTGTGTGATGGCCTTCGTTTGCTTTGCGTTGCGCAGCTGTGTCAGAAAGCGGGCGAGATCTCTCTGCTGAAGCAGCAGCTGCGGGAGAGTCAGAACGAGGTTACGCAGCGCGCCGGAGAGATGGTGGCCCTCAGGGGCCAGCTGAAGGAGCTCAAGGGCCAGATGAAGGAGCGCGAGGAGACAATGATCGGCCTGAAGGACTCGTACACCAACAAGAGCCGCGAGCTGGAAAGATGTGAAGGAGAACTGAAGAGAACGCTGACAGAGGTGCGCAACATAAACACACACTCATATCCAATGCATCACACTTACTATGCCTGTCATATATGTGTCCCTGCAGCACAAAATCAGTCTTAAGTTGCTGGGGTATATTTGTAGCAATAGCCAACAATACATTGTATGGGTCAAAATTATAGATTTTTCTTTGATCCAGATTTTCAAATAGTTGTATCTCAGCCAAATATTGTCCTATCCTAACAAACCATACATCAATGGAAAGCTATTTATTCAGCTTTCAGATGATGCATAAATCTCAATTTTGAGAAATTGACCCTTATGACTGGTTTTGTGCTCCAGGGTCACATTTAATAATAATACAGCTATTACTAAGGCTGACACATAAGGTTTGTTGTGTTCTGAAACCTTTAACACTAAGCATTAAAGTTCAGTGCATGTTTGTGCTCAATGATTGATTCCTCAGATCATGCGTGTTTGCTGGTGCTTTACTAAGTGTTCAAACACGCTATTTTCACCTGCTGGACCAGAAAACAGCTGAAAAATATCCCACAGACAGGCACTGAAGGAGACATCAAAAAAAAAGAAGTCAAAGTCAAAGTAGCTAGTCAAAATCGTACTTGACAATACAATTTCCACATTTAATTAAGTGTTTTAATATGCAAAGGAAAAAAAAAAGAAAAATCAGTTTCTGAAACAGATGGAATCTAGTAGACAAAATGAGATTTTCGTATTAAAGTATGTTTGATGCACAAACTTTTACTGAGCTTATTAGTCAAATTAAACTGCTATGCATTTGACCTCTTGTTCATTTCTATATATATATACACACTACCAGTCGAAGGTTTGGAATAATTAGGGTTTTTAAGTATTTCTGAAAGAAGCCTTTTCTGCTCATCAAGGCTGCATTTATTCAGTCAAATAAATACAGAAAATACAGTAAAAATGTGAAATATTATTACAATCTAAAACAGCTGTTTTCTATGTGAATATCTGTTAAAGTGTAATTTATTTCTGTGATGCGCAGCTGTATTTCCAGCATCATTACTCCAGTCTTCAGTGTCACATGATCTTCAGAAATCAGTATAATATGCTGATTTGCTGCTCGAGAAACATTTCTGATTATTATCAATGTTGAAAACAGTCGTGCTGCACAATATTTTTGTGATGCATTTTATTTTTCAGGATTCACAGATGAATAGAAAGTCCAAAAGAACATCCTCTAATTGAAATAGAAATCTATTGTAACTAGTGTTGGGGAAAGTTACTTTTAATCAGAATCAGAAAGTAATGTAATTAAAAGTAATGCGTTACTCTGTGAAAAAGTAACTAATTGCATTGCTTAGTTACTTTTTATGAAATGTAATGCAAGTTACTTTTGCGTTACTTTTTGTCACCTGGCTTGCTTATTTGTTTTTTAATAACAACAAAATAAACTTTGATCACAGAAATAAATTACAGTTTAACAGATATTCACATAGAAAACAGTTGTAATAATATTTCACATTTTTACTGTACAAATGCAGCGTCGGTGAGCAGAAGAGGCTTAAAAACACTAACAAATCTTAATTATACCAAACATTTGACTGTTAGTGAACAGATTTCTCTCATGATGAGCAGTTCAAGTCAAGTTTATTTGTATAGCGCTTTTCACGATACAAATCGTTGCAAAGCAACTTTACAGCAAATTAAGTTTCTACAATATATTTAGTGGTAGCTTATCAGTGGTGACTGTCAGTTAATGTACGGAAAATCAATTAAAGACGTAATCAAACAGACGATGAACACTATTAACAGCAATTATTATATGATGCAATCAAACTTGTAGCAAAATGTGGTAGTTCTGTATGTTGTTTCAGGGTTGGCATCATCTCTTCTCAGATGTTCTGTGAAGTATGTAATTTGTACTTATACTCAGCACATGCTGTAAGCGCTGGTTTGGTGTCTCCGCAGGTGTCGATGTTGCGTGACAAGCTGGTGGTGTTCGAGGCCGAGCTTCTGGGTCTCAAGCGGGCTCTGAGCGAGCTGAGCTGCAGGAGCGATCACGCCGTGTGTCTGAGGGACATCAGCGGCATCAGCGGCAGCTTACCGTGGGCCGGCTTGCACTCGCCCCGAACGCCCGAAACCCTGCCCATCGACAGCTTCCTCAGCCTGCAGAGCGACGAGGCCAAAGCGCAGCGGCAGGAGGCCGGAGAGCTGCGGCGGCAGCTGGAGAGACTGCAGGGCGAGCTGCACCTGGAGCGGCAGCAGAGAGAGAGGCAGGTGCTCACCTTCGCTCAGGAGCGACACACCTGGCAGGACGAGAAAGAGCGCGTGCTGAAGTACCAGGCGCAGCTGCAGCTCAGCTACGTGGAGACGCTGCAGAGGAACCAGGCGCTGGAGGAACGGGTCGGCCAGCTCGGAGCCAAACTGGGCACCTCGCCTGGATCACCCGGATCGCCCGTCAGCCTCTCCATCCCCGTCCCTGTGACCATCACTCTGTCCCCAGCCGCGGACGATCCCAAACATCAGCTGGCGCCTCCGTGGCCGGGACCGTCTCGCTTGGAGCGGATCGAGTCCACCGAGATTTAGACGCGAGACAATCGACTTGAGACTAAAGCCCCGTTCACACCAAAAACGATAACTATAAAGATAACATTACATTTAGTCATTTAGCAGACGCTTTTATCCAAATGTGACCCTGGACCACAAAACCAGTCTTAAGTCGCAATAAAATTGACCCTTATGACTGGTTTTGTGCTCCAGGGTCACAAATGAGGACAAATGGAAGCAATCAAAATCAAGAAAAGAGCAATGATATACAAGTGCTATAACGAGTCTCAGTTAACTTAACGCAGTACACGTAGCAAGGTTTTTAAAAATAATATAATAAATAAAAAGAAAACAGATAGAATAGAAAAAGAATATAGCAAGCTAGTGCTAGAGGTCATTTTGCTTTTATTAATTGTATAATAAATTAAAAGAAAACAGATAGAAAGCAAGTGTTAGTTTTTTTTTTTTTTTAAAGAATAAAATTAGAATAGAGAGTGCTAGAGTTAGAGGGTCAAATACAGATGGAACAGATGTGTTTTAGCCATTTTTTGAAGATGGCTAAGGACTCAGCTGCTCGGATTGAGTTGGGCAGGTCATGCAACATTAAAAGTAGTACACACTGCTAGAGATGGGTGCTGTTGAAACCTTTATCTGGTGAAACCATGAATGAAAAATAATATAATAAATAAAAAGAAAACAGATAGAATACAAAAAGATTAGAAAGCAAGTGTTAGTTTTTTTTTTCAAGCAGCAAATGAATAGAGTGCAAGTCTAAAAGGGACTTGTATTTTTATTTTTTTTTAAAGAATAGAATTAGAATAGAGAGTGCTAGAGTTAGAGGGCCAAATAAAGATGGAAGATATGTGTTTTTAGCCGATTCTTGAAGATAACCAGCGGACGATATCGCACGCGCATCTGCCGCTTTAAATTCTCGAGCTCGGTTCACTGGTCGGATTTAAGGCCTGTTCACACCAAGAACGATAACTATTAAGATAACTATATAAACATCCACACCAGCAGACGATATCGTCTGTTTATTCTAAGCGCATGCTCATCTACCGCTTGAAATACTCGAGCTCGTGACAGCAGGATGGATTCTGATTGGCTGTCAAAGTTTTTATCGTTCATCAGCTAGAAAAAAAATCCTTTTGAAAGGGATTCCAACAATATCGTTTCTCTGTGCCTTTATCGTTATAGCTGTGGTGTGCACTCTGCTATTCTTTAATATTGAGAACGATTTTTACTATATCGTTATCGTTATCGTTATCTTTATCGTTATCGTGCTTGGTGTGAACGGGCCTTAAGAGCTGAATGCACTAAAGAGGGCTGTGTTACAACAAATGCAGTTATGAATCACATTTCTCCAGCTTTTAAACCTTCTATTGACTTTTGACCTCTCTTTTGGTCATAAGTGATATGGAGGGAAATGTTTCATTAGTCTGTGTGGGCCAAAAGTTTGGTATAAGTAAGATTTGTTAATGCTTTGAAAGAGTCTCTTCTGCTGACCAAGGCTGCATTTGTACAGTAAAAATAGTAAATATTATTACAATTTAAAGTACCTGTTTTCTATGGAAGCTTGTTGCCACCACGGAATAAAAAACAAAAGGTAATTGCTACTTTTGTTACAATTTGGACTCTCGAGCAGCAAATCAGCATATTAGAATGATTTCTGAAGATCATGTGACACTGAAGACTGGAGTAGGGGAGATCGAGCGGGGCACAAAGTAACACTTTTTGACTTTCTCAAATTGTGTAAATCCACATGGGGTTCAGAATATAATTTTTTTTTATCCACAGTAATTTCACACTTTGTTTCATAATTACAGTGTATACGTTTTTCTTTATTTACCCTCAAAAATTGGAAGTGAAATGTGACAACATGCCCTGTAGGTGGGGTACATTGTAACATCTGAGGGGCACTTTGTAACATGACCATATAACAGCTTAAAATGTTATCTGATCAAATGAAAAAAATATACAAGATAAACTAAAATATTTTGTCAATAACATAAAATAATTATTTATTTCAAATAAAATAATGGCGTTTTTTAAGAATTAAAAATCATCTGATTTTGGAGTTTGTCAATGAACGCATTGAAACCAAGCTTGGGACGGCGCACATAAACGAGCCAAAGTGCTTTACATGTCTTGAAATAATAATTTCTTAACACTAAACATTGACTGTCAGTCACCAGTTTCTCGTCGTTTATCATTCAAATTAATTGAAGTAAATAGTGTGAATTACATCGCTAATGTCATAGAATAGCACATTGTAACGCAGTGTAACGCAACCGGAATTTAAAACCGGTTATGATAGTTAGCGAAGCATTAAAAAATAATCTAAACTGATAAATAATAGATTGCAAAAATAGCAGATTTGTCTCATTTTAAATGAGTGATAAAACCTGAGATGAAAAATTTACTTAAGCCAGAAATAAAATGTTACTATGGTAAAATAAATGTTAAGCGATATCTTCAAAAGACTTTTGAATTTTTTTGCACTTTTTTTCTCTATATAATGTTGATATGGTAACTAGTAAATGCTGTAAATGTGGTTATGCTAGCATGTGTGGAAATATTCAAACCACGCGTGTTACAACTTACCCCGCGTTACATTGTGCTCCCCTAATGATGCTGAAAAATCAGCTTTGATCACAGAAATAAATTACAGTTTAACGCATATTCACATAGAAAACAGCTGATTGAAATTGTAAAAATATTTCACTATTTTTACTGTACATGTTATCAAATAAATGCAGCATTAGTGAGCAGAAGAGACCGCGGTGACTAAACGTGAACACCAGGGGTCACTAGACGACAAACAGAGGGCTCCTATCTACAGGTAGAATTACTTGGGCTGTTTTTGTCGGAGTTTTTTAAATTTGGCGGAAATTGAACCCCAACCCGGACTTGCTTTCCTGATTCTACAGCGATGCTTCTGGAAGCTTCTGAGAGATGATGCTATGTTCTGATGTGACGTCACGGTGTGTTGTGGGTAGACAGGCAGGCTGTGAATATGACGAAAAGATGAGAATTATTGTTATTTCATCGTTCTGATTATTGTGAATAAAGCCGATATCTTAGCTTCGTTTTTCTGTAACAGGACATGTAACACCGTTCAAATGCATCAACAATTTCCAAAACCATATTCCTTTCGATGTAATTATTTGATTTGATGATGTAATTTATTTATTTAGAGATCCAATGCTATGTTTTTATACTTCTATTGTTTGTATTTATGCTACTGTAATGACTTGCGCAAAAGCATATCCGATCAAAAACACATTAAATGATAAAGACTTTGATTTTGGCATTGGACAAGCTCTGATTCACCATCCGTGCATTTTAAAATCATTACGATGTCGAAATTCGGAAATGAATGGCTCTTTTGAGCTGGTTTTTGCTAGTGAATCGAGTTTGAACCAATCGGAGCTGTTCGAGCGTAAATGATTCACTCAATTGAATCGGTTCGTCTGCTGTTCCGTTTTCGAGTCTTCAGTCATGTTTACACGACACTCAGCACCAAAAAAGCATGATGTTTACTAATAAAATAGTAACAAAGATAACATCCAACACAAATCTAGATCATATTCAGGCGAGGAAACCGGTTTACTGCTAACTAGTGAATCACATACACATAGGCTATATTTAAATGTTTGATTAAAATTATTTCTAGGGACAATTTAGTAGGCGCTGGATATTGATAGAGACATAGTGTCCCTACTAAATTCTACACCCTTATTAATCTCCGTAAAAACAACAACATGTAAGCTAAGTAACAGCAGAGAAACCTTCAGAAAGCATTCTAGTATGCTGATTTGGTGCATATTAAAAATATGCATACTTTTGTGGAATCTGTGATACACTACCATTCAAAATTTTAGAGTACTTTTTAAAAATATATATACATTAATTCATCAAGGATGCATTAAACTGATCAAAAGTGACAGTAAGATTGAGTCATTCATTTAAAATTCAATTAAGTCTTTTAAAATAAATAAAACATTTTATGCAAACCGAGATTAATCAGCTCATGTACGGAAATGACGCAATTATTCAAATTCAAACTGTAAAAAAGGTAAACCAAGGCACAACAATCTTACACTCCGAATATTAGTTATTAGTTCAAGTAAAGACGTCTTTTAATAACAGATTTTATAACAGACTCTGAAATAAAAACCGGCCGCAAATGTATAAAAAATAATATTGGAGTCAAAGCAAATAAAACTGATACATAGTGGTTTCCCGCCAGCAGGTGGCAGCAGTGAGCCGCACGCGCATTTGATCCCGGAAGCAGCGGTGACGTCAGCGGCGCGACTGTTCCTGCTCTTGTGGTGAGTTTTGTTTTGGTCAGCGCGTGATGTCGAAATGTTATTTGCTTTATTCACGCATTTATCGAGCTAAGAAACCCATTCTGTCTGTATGATCGCTCGGCGTGTTTGATGTCAGCTTGGTCAGTAACAAACTCACAACTAGGCTATTTTTTGCACATCTGCACTGGAATGCTATCGTGTTTGTTTGCAATGCTATATCGTAAATTGTGTAGTATACCAATTTGTTAATCAGTAGTGTGTGTGTGTGTGTGTGTGTGTGAGAGTGTGAGTGAGAGTGAGTGTGAGTGTGAGAGAGTGTGTGTGAGTGAGAATGAGAGTGTGAGAGAGTGTGTGTGTGTGTGTGTGAGTGTGAGTGAGAGTGTGTGTGTGAGAGTGTGTGTGTGTGAGTGTGTGAGAGTGTGCGAGTGTGTGTGTATGTGATTGTGTGTGAGTGTGAGGATGTGTGTGTGAGTGTGAGAGTGAGAGTGTGTGTGTGAGTGTGTGTGTGTGTGTGTGTGTGTGTGAGAGAGAGAGAGTGTATGTGTGTGTGAGAGAGTGAGAGTGTGAGAGAGTGTGAGAGTGTGTGAGAGTGTGTGTGTGTGTGTCTGTCTGTCTGTCTGTCTGTCTGTCTGTGTGTGTCTGTGAGTCTGTGTGAGTGAGTGAGTGTGTGTGTGTGCGTGCGAGTGTGTGTGTGTGTGTGTGTGTGTGTGTGTGTGTACTACAATGAACTGTATGCATAAACTGTGTGTACCAAAGTGTATTTTTACTTTAAAGGTTTAGTT